TCGCAACGTTTGAACTGCTTTCTGCATGTGTAGACATGTGATTCTCTTGGCAGTAAAAGACAGTCGCTAACTCTACCACCCATGATTATCATGAAGAATAAATATCCACCATGAAAATATACAACCTGAGGATTGACCGGAAGATATATACAGACAAATATTGCAACGAAATATCCAAGTATAAAAGTACAGAGACCCCACAACATCTAATATTATGTGAATGTAGTTTCGAATCTCATACGTCTTAAATAGAGTGTCTTCATACGCACAAGAATGGCTCCGATATCTACGTTGTTACAAAAGTATACCGTGAAACAAAGTCCCATAACATCTAACATTCCGACCTATAGAAATGTTTCATATCCTTATAATGATCGGAAATGTCTCTAATTAGAAAATGGACTATCACGAACCTCTAGAACAACTTGGCAACCGTGTAGGACTGGATTTTTTTTAGATCGGCTGAAAACATATAGCAGATATTTCTTCTCCTTGAATAGTCGTCCATAATTGAGATTGGGTAAAATACAGATTTATTCTATCATTGGATGTTATAGTTCGATTTTTGGCTCTTAATGCGTAAAACAATATAGCAACATTGTCAGATCGGAGTTTTTCACACTGAATAAATAAATCTTTCTTTATCTGAAACAATTACTTGTGATTGTGGGTAAAATCTAAACATATCTCCGTTTTTTTGTTTAAATGAGCACGGATTTAAAATAATTTTAAATTTCCAATTTTTTCATAAGTCGACTTTATATGGTAAAGACTGATTGAAATTTAAGTTTGCTAATCATGAAATTGAAGCATATATTTATATCCTCCTAACATATAATTATACAAATTTTCTGTGTTTTTGAAATAACAATACAGTATTCTGTCTCTCTACTGAGAATTATATAGTGATAAAAATGTTCCCACATTCTTGTTCATCTACATTGTAATAAAATCCGCTTTCTACTATTATAATATATTAAATAATATATGATTATTGTGTACATTTATCTATATATTTATATATATATGTAAATAAAAAGGTTTTATAATATTTTTTCAAGGAAAGTTATCAAATATTTTCGATGTTGATTTAAGAGTATAAAGTCGAATTGAGAGTATAAGTTAAGTATAAGTTATAGCCCTATATCGATACATAAAAAATTAAAACCTTTTTGTTACCCTAATAATAATATTTAATAATTTGCTTTAATTATCATTAATTTACAATTACTTTTCATATAAATTATATTTAATTATACTTATATATATATCAGACATACGAGCTTGACTTTTGAATACTCCCAGCATTAACTTCTAATTTGTTTTATAATGCACTCTTGAAAACAAAGAATAGGAAATGTGGTGAACAAAATCAAATTACTTAGATTTTAAACTGAGCACTCCTACTTCATACAACATGTATTTTAAATCCACGCTGACAAGCGCCAACAGCGTGAAACACGTTCGTGGATGGCTTTTCTTGATTTATCAAGAAATTGGGTTGGCCAAATTTCAGGGAACAGGTTAAATCAATGTTTAGTTGATTTCTGTTCCACTAGATGGTACTCTTCCATTAAAAAATCACATGTGCTTTTGGTCAGGATATGCCTTCTCATATATATATATACATATAAATTCATATATATATATATATAGGATTTTAATTGGCTCTCTCTTAATCTTCCTCATCATTTTAATCTTCCTCAAAATGTGTGTGCATGATGGGAAGAAATTGGTGGAAATAAAGTTGATGGCATGGCTTATGTCTCTGGGCTGGGACAGACGCAGCCCAATATAACTGGTGTTAAAGAACCATTCTGTAGGTTGTTCCGTCGTGTGTGCTGTGACAAACCAAATAAATGTCGCGCAATATTGACACCAAATTTAACGTATAGATTTTTATTTAGTGTTATCGCTTCTCCATTTTATCGATCTCCGAATTATGTGGAGTCGGGTTGATGTGCCTTGTTTCGTGTGTAAGTCTGGATATTGATTGAAACTGTCGACAACAGGTCACAGAATTCTGCAATGAACACTTCCCATTCTTGAAATATTTTCTTCAATGGCTTCTAATTATTGAATAAGTTCAACTAAACCAGTAAATTTCAAAACCTGAGAATGTTCCTCTGGGAGTGCAAGGGGAACTGACTTCTACTGAAGCTACTTCTCAATACACTATCCACGGGAAGACAAAAGACGAATTAAAAGGCGTTTCTTTTCATTGTAGAATGGCTACCGTTCGAAAGTTATATCTTTATCAGGCCAAATGGATCCCCGTAAATCACGACACTAATGATGAACATGTCAATTAAGTTAGATATATTTAAAATTGTCATAATTCACGATGATGCCTAATGAGAGATAACGCTCGAAAATGATCAGTTTATATTAAAAAGAAGCATCTTGTGATGGTGTCTTGTCCATATGGAAAGGGGGGTGGGTGCCATTGCCCCGTTAGACAGCCACATTTCAGAAATAACTGTTCACGGTTACAGTAGCGGCTCACGACACCGTACTACAGGGCAGTTCCTTACTTGTGCTTCTTCTCCCCCCCGCCACGTAGAGGGACTTCTGGGCAGGGAAGCATCTTGTGATTCTTCTTTTTATTTTTACTCTTATACTTACCTAGAATTTATTTAGAGTCCCTGCGATCTCATCTAACAAAATACTATTTAGTATAATTGTTTAAAAGTGTTTTTATTATTAAAGAAAATGTTATTCAGTAAGGATGAGTGAAGTAAGTGTAGATAGAGCGGAGAGCTATTTCCCCGTAGATCCGCCCAACAAGACTCATCTATCATATTCCCGCGGCAAACAAGGTGAGAGATAATGAAGCCACACCTCTCATTCCCTGGTTCGATGCTTAGCTCCCTCCCTCACTACACAAACACGAGGTTGTAGTTAACTCCAACATATCTGGTTGGTCTTACAAGGAATCTTCAGTAGAACTAGGATTCTAAATATCCATTCCCCTGAGGGGAGAGATAGAAGGTCACTGAAACGTCGGGAGTTAAAATAAATTATTTGTTGATGTGGCTGTCTATTTGTTTCTGAATAAATCTCCAAGTATCTCAGATCCATATGGATTTGGATATTTTCGAATAAATAAAAATTGATTTAAATTTGACATTTCTCTTTTGACGGCCATCCAAAAAGTAGATTCTCTATTGATAAATGTATATTCATTGAATTTTAGTTTGGAATTTCTTGGAATGAAATCTTGGAAGGAATTTTGAAATGAGTCCAACAGGTCTTGGCACATAACCAAACGTTGATTAATCTTTGCTCTTTGGTGGTAGCGTCTTCAACATTTAGATTGATTATTCGAAGAAAAGAAAAATAATCTAATATATAAAAAATAAGGTTAAATCCCTAGTAAACACGTCTTCAACAAGATTTGTCTTATACAATTTATATTGAAATGTGTATTGAGAGAGAGGCAGTCTTTATATTCCAACAATTTTTACTATGCCTCCTGGAAAAGTGTTAAAGAATGATTTGACGGTTTAAAAATATGATTGAGCTTTCTCTTCTTAATTGTATGTAAAGTAATTATAAAAAGATGCTGGACCATTCTGGAAGAATTAGGATGTGACTAGAAGAGACAAATGGTGCTGTGTGGAAGAAATGGTCACCTCAAGGTGACAGCAAGGATGTCAAGTTGTCAAGATGTCAGTTCGATGAGAGGCTGCTTTAGATGTCACATTAGCTGGTTATTCTCTACTCTAGCTTAGCTTGCTGGCCGAATAACATTGTTGGATAGTTAAAAACTAAGGACACTCTTTGTGACAGTAATCCTCAAATAAACGATAAATTCAGTCAACCGTGTTGTACAACATAATTACCCCAAATAATTCTATTTATGGCTGGCTGTTCTTTTTGCTAAAGCATTCATTGTCTCTGTAAGATGTCGTTTTCAAAATATTTTTCTGCAGAGAAAATATAACGAATGAATATATCAAGACGCGAATGTTTGTTTTCACAAATAAATCAAACTTCTACTGTCTTTACTGCGATGACGAAAAGTTTGATTTATTTGTGAGAAGAGACCTTCGCGTCTTGATATCTCCATTCGTTATATAAAGATGGCGCTTTGTATCAACGTAGAAAGTAAGACAACACACAAAGTATAATGTTTATTATAACGACAGTTATGTTTTACCTATACCTAATATTCTAATGCTATTTATAATGGGAAATTACAAAACTCCAATTATCTCTTTTTATATTTCCATCTGCGCCCAAATCATGATACATTTATTTATTCCAACGAATAAAAAGAAGACCCATTAAATCTCCAGGTTTTATATTTAAATCATAATAATTCCACGTCAACAAAGAGAAATGATAAATTGAAGTGTTTTTGGCAACGAAGGAAAAAAAAATCGAATGAATCCTATTTTCCGGCAATTTATTTTAATGGCACACATGGTATTTCTCTTGGAGCTCTCTCTTGTGGAGAAATAAAACATTATAAAGATATTTTAATTAAAATATTTTTGTTCAGACATTTTGAGAAAATGTCTACTCGATTATTAAGATTAAATAATCCTTCTGTTGGAAATTAATTAGATTTTTACAGTCAAATTGATTTGTATATTTCTTCCTTTGTAAAATGGTCACAATTCGGTAATAAAACATTTTATTACACTAAACCATATAACACCGCAACTATTTTTTATTCCTAATTTCATTCCTGATCGAAGGAATCTTTCGGGGAAGCCCTTCTTCAACTGACTATAACGTTATATAATATAATTAAACATTTCATATAGCTGGAGAAGAGACTGCCCGAAGGCATCAGGTGAATTAAAAAGAGTTTATTATTTCTTGTAATTTGTCGAAATCCACAATCGTGCCATAATGGAAACATTTAATATTTTTAAAAATCAATATTTTTTTTTTAAATCTCGCAATACATAAAATAATACTTTCGATAAACAAGGCTCTCATTTATGAAATTATATGTATTGCACTATTTCACACACACAACACACTCTTCCCACGTGATCTAGTGGCTAGGATACTTGCCTCTTACCCTGGAGGCCCGGGTTCGATTCCCAGCGTGCGAACCTTTTTTTGGGACTCAAAAAGCATCCATTTTGGTTAGCAGCCCAATATATTTACACATCACGCACTCACAGTAAGCATCGAGCTCATTTTAACAACACAAACGAATTTTCCGAATTCTTCAAATCCGAATCATATGTCTTGATAAATTCGAGCGATCTGTTTACTGAAATATTGAGTGTGAGCTGCTTCTATTTAAATCAATACTCAAATGATAAATATAGAACAAACATAAATTGTTATCAGGTGGTAAATTTGAGAAAGTAATATCCGGATCTCTCGTACAACTAGTTGTCAATGGTTGCTATCGGAATAAACATCAACTGAATATTGTATTGGCCAGTGTTGGACCAATATTTGGGAATATACAAATCAACGATTAGTGTATATATATTCCTATATACCGCACGCTACTAAAAACGTTTAATTTCACAATCAGATGATTTTTCTTTATTAATATCTATATTGAGTTGTATAAGTGAGTGAGGAGTTACCAGAGTAATACCTCAAAAATACATAGAATATTATAATTGACTTCTTTCTGTGCTAAGAAAAGATTTCTATTATTCTATTCTATCTATGTGTTTTTTTCAGTAGTTTTTGGGGCTTCAACTGAATCTTGTAATTTTCAATAAACTTAGCAGCCAAAGAGGAGATTTTATAAAAATGAAGGTTCACAATTTCGACTTAAAATATCCAGCAGTTTATCCATACAACAATCTTGTTCCTTGTTCCAAAATCACTTTATTAAGTACCGCTAAAAAAGAGCAACCTAGTTTATGATAATTGCAACAATGAACAAAGGGCCCAACGCAGGATCCCGGTGGTTCATGGCTGTCGGGAATCGAGGGATTTACCACCCACTCGTCCACCGACTCTTATACAGCCATCTTGAAGAAACTGTGTTCCTGCATCAATTTTTGAACATAGCAGATGTGCCACGGGGAATCTTTTATTAACGAAATGTCTTGCCTTCGCATTTTCCTCGTGGTACATTCTCGGTGATATCTTTCTTTTATAACATATCAAATTTTATGAAAATTGCCACGTGGAAAATAAGGGAAGACCAACTTCGGGATGAGACAATAATTTATTTCAGGCAAGAACAAACTATGAATGATAAACAAAAGATAAGAAAAAGAGGTAAGTGTACAGAGTATAGCAAAATATAATCATAAAAAATAATACTCTGCTATTAAAATAATGAAACCTTTGTTACAATATCATTAGAATTAACTAAGTTGTAGAGAACTAGTAAGTATTCTCAAAATCTTACACTTAACGTCTATTATTCAACACCAAACTTTTACCTCACTGTGGAAGCGCTTATTGCAATGGAATTGGTATTTATATCGTTAACACAGAGAGCTTTTAAAAGTGAATTTTTCAATTAAAATAATGCTGAGAAAATAGAGAAGTCCTGCAAAAAATAGTATTTATTTTGGATTCTATATTTGAAAGTTCTAAAAATATATACATCGTTTATGTTCTCACTTATTGTATCAAAAGATGCATTTTTCTGTAGAAAAAGAATGCTGAAAACTATACAATAGTAGTTTAGTGTCGTTCTTAAATTGCTGGAAGTGTTCGTGGCCTCAAATTGCATGATTAGAAATATATATGCGCTATATGGGCTTGATTTAATTCTCTATTTTATCAAAATTCTTAGAAAAAGATATCTCCTTAATAAATGCTCATATTTCGCTATTATAATTTGCTTGTGGAAAACGAATAAGTAGAGAATAAAGAGTTTAACAAGAGAAGCTGTATGATAATAGATTCGCTATGAGCTAAATACAATTTAGGGCTATTGAAAACAGATATTGAGTTAACCGGTATTGCTGTACATAAGGGGTCTGTCCCACAGTAGCTGTGCTGGGAGTAGCCACAAGAAGTGGAGTCGTGGAGGAACTAAAGTTTGCGAGTTCTTCGTTCCGAGAGTTGCGCGACGGCATGTGCGCAGCTGCCGTGTACGGACAGAAGAAGTTGTAAGATTTGGCGGGAGATATGGGGACGTAAGATCGATGGTTACCGCGCATGCGTTGTTGCCATGGTGACGGTGGTAGTGCTGGTGGTGGGGTTGTATCGCTACCTGTGGCCCCCTCGCGCCCCCAGACCCCCACCGAGCCCGTCGATCTGTGCACCAGCCCCCGCTATTCGTAGAGGCCCCCGGTCTAGCCTCCCGCTCCCCCCGTAGCCCGAGGGTGTTGCACACCAAGCCATGGTACAGGTAGGCATCGCGTAGATTAACTTACGTATTTGGCAAGTTTATCGCAAGGAAATAACAGTTTTTCTAATCATTCCATACTCCGAAATTAATCTTTTGAGAGAATTGATCGCTTATTAGAACTTTTAATAGCCCGAAACTCAAACACAGCGCCTTCACACAAACCATTAACGAATAAGGTAAAATTCCGCGCGCCGCGGTAAAGAAAGTCAAAACGATAATAATAAACGTTATTCGAGAAAGTATGAAATTATTTGCATTCCGAACTTGGAATGCAGAAAGGAAATTCTAATGAGCTAATATTTCAGCGAAGTCATTTAAGTGGTTCATTTTTGAAATAATTTAAAACACATTTTAAATATAATTGAGATGGAATAGTAAAATGAATGGCCGAATAATATTTAAAAGGTTAGCTGGGAGAATCTCATGGACATTTCTTTATTAAAATGTCTCCGCTTCCATGAAACATTGCACTCGGAATAAAACTTTCTCAGCCACATGCAATATCATCTCACAGGCGGTAGATACATTTTTCTGTACGTGTAATACATCTCATTATTCCTTATAACTATTTCATTGTCTTTCAAACTTGGATTGCGCGTATTCTTGAATATATCTTCGTATCTTTTACGGGCCTATAAAAAATACATTAAAAAGTTTGAAAATGATATTAAATATACATTATATTGTATATTTATATTTTTCAGCCTCTCTTGACGTTATGTTGACGATTGTCGCTACTTGCTGCATTCAATTCTTTCTGTAGTAATTAACGAGATAAACACACTCAGACACATGGGTCTCTCTACTGGTAGTTGGCGTAGTTCGAGTCGAATCTTTCACGATTTGATGAAAGGTAGTCGCTCAGGGAGATGGTCGCTCATGGGAGGTATCCTGACTGCATCCATTCAAATATTTTATCAGTGATATACATTATTGCAAAATACAAGAATCATATAACGCCGCAACTATATTTTACTCACCTTATAAAAAGAAGATTTCGGACAAGCCCTACATCAACTAACCAGAACGTATAAACAAGGATAGAGAGGTTATATAGTATTTATACATATGATACTATATAGTTCTTTCTACATTGTTTTGTTTATACATTCTAGTTAGATGAAGAAGGGCTTTCCCGAAAGCTTCCTTTGATTAAGTGAATAAAAAATCGTTGCGGCGTTAAATGATTCTTGTATTTTGTAATATGTTAAAGTCCGCAATCCTGAAATAATGAATATATTTTATTGTTCTCTCCTCAACTATTTTGTATTTATAAACACGGCAATTGTCACTATGTACATGAGTATATGCGTCAAAATGTAACTTCCCTAGAATTGGCACAAAACCACACATAATGACTTATAGAAAATTTACATTTATTTTCAAAATTAAATCTATGAAATAATTTGTAACCTAATAAAAGTATAGTCACTCTGGTAGAGAAAATTATCTCAGTTTTGTAGAAATGGGAAGCAAAAAATTATTTATTTTAATAAATTAGCATTAAAGCATATAAAACAGAATATTTAAATACATGTATTATTATTAATGAAAGTTAGAAACATAAAATTTAAAGGGAATCATATTTCAAGCATATATAAGTATTTAATATATATATATATGATTAAAATACCTTTATATATAGAGATGCCTAATTATTCACTCAGTTTATTTTTTCAAATTGAGATTTATGAAGGCTGTTATATAGCATGTTCTAGAGAATTTAAAGATTCAGGTTGTGAGTATTTAACTTGTGTATAAAATAGACATTCGTCCACTCCTCGCATCAAGATTCCAACAAAAGGAATGTGTCACATCGGAACCCTAGTTACTTATCATGCAATATTGTGTCGCGCTTGGCAAATGTTTTGATAAAAGGAACTTCAATTTTTTTTTTCAAATTTCAAGTATATCACTATATTACTCGCTCACTATCTTTATATAGCGTCAGTTTTATTTATTATAAATTCCTATACATTCGCAATTTCAACCTCGAAAATTATGTGAAATATTAATCAATGCTCAAACAAATTCAGTATTTAATTTTAGATTATTTTGAAATGATCTCTTTTGCTCATATTCTAGTAGTTTTATATATAATATGTATATAGTATATATTGCATACAATATAAATATGATATAGTTGAGAATAGCCTTTTCTACTAATATATACATTATTGTCTCTATTTTCTCTCTCTATATATATAAACGTTTCTGCTAATCATTTCTATCCAATTGTATATGTCGCGTGTCGGCCGATGCTTCACTGATGGTTTTAATAACTAGTTTATTTTAAAATATAAATATATATAGCTAACTTCTTTCAATTTATCATATTTCTTGATACATTTATATTTCTCCACTTCTTTACTTATAATATAGCTTTACTTTTGTTTTGTTGGGGTGGACGGGGTAATATTAATCATATTTTAATTTGTAGTCATGCTTTCTGCTCTTTTTTTTATAAATACAGATTTATTTTAGTGTTTTTATGGATTGTTTTGATAGTAGCCTTATTTTATTACTATTATAGAGATCTGGCACCTTTGTTCTCCTTATTCGGCGATGAAACATTTTAGCGGTGTGAGAATATTTAGATTTTATTGCGTCGATACATTGTTAGGATTGGCTATTCTTAAATTTACCTTCGTATATTTGATTGTTTATATCATTTCGCCTTAAAGAGGTAACCTTTAAAAGGCTTAGAACTGGCCGCCGTTTTATACGATTCGTTCAACGGTCTAATTCTTTAGAATATATATAATAAAGAGA